GTGGGGGGGATTTAAGCGTATCCAAATGTTATAATTAATTAGCTAATTTTCCCCCAAATATCATTAATTACCCAATTATCCACATAATTAAGAATTATCTCAAATTACTTAAAATACTACTCACTTTTAACACACTTTATGTACCCTACTATCATGGTCATGTGGTACCATATAAAATCAATACATACACTATTATTTCATTCAAATATCCGTGTAAAAATACATATATTTTCTCAACTTCTAATTTTTTTAGTCTCATATAAAGAGTACAAATTTTTGTATGCTTAATTCTTAAAATGGTAAAAGATAACCTTCTTTTCTTGTGAGAAAATAATTTCTATCTTTACACTAAAGAAAATTTCATAAATATTCTCATATTATGTGTATAATTTAAAGCATATTCGAAAGTAGTAATATTAATAACTATATAAAATCATATTTTTCAAACCTTGTTTTTTTACAAGAATGTTCCATTCAAAATACCATATCAAATATATATAACGGTATCAAGGCTGTTAAACTTACGGGGTCTTATAATAACATAATCACAAATTCTTTATAGCCTCGTGAATGGTCTTAATCCCTTCAAGCTCATATGGATTACTACAACTCATCCTAGTATTAAAGTACGGGATGTAACAGCGGTCTAGATCTCTGGTGGGTTGGTTTGAGCCCGGTGAGGCTAGGCAGCTGGGTACAAACTTGGTTCAGGATGCATTTGACAAGGTTAAATTGATTCAGGAGCGGCTTCGCACGGCGCAGTCTATAGAGAAGAGCTATGCCGACAGAAAAGTCAGTGATGTGTCTTACATGGTTGGGAAGAAGGTTTTGCTAAAGGTTTCACCCATGAAGGGTGTTATGCGGTTCGGAAAAAAGGGCTTGAGGTACTTCTGAGGATTGGGGAGGAGGCTTACAAGCTTGCCTTTCCACTTAGCTTGTCAAGTGTGCATCCAATATTTCATGTTTCTATGATCCAAAAGTATGCTGGCGGCCTGTCTCATGTTTTGGATTTCAGCACGGTTAAGTTGGATGGTGATTTGACTTATGATGTGGAGCCGGTGGCTATTCTGGGTCGGCATGTTCGGAAGTTGAGGTCAAAGGATATATCTTCAGTGAAGGTGCAATGGAGAGGTCAGCCAGTCGAGAAGGCTACTTGGGAGACCGAGCGGGAGATGCGGAGCAGATATCCTCACCTATTTGAGACTCCAGGTATGTTTCTAGACCATTCAAGGACGAACGTTTGCTTACGAGGGGGGATGTAACGATCTGGCCGGTCATTTCATGAGTTGTAGCCCCGTTCTCCCATTTTTCTGCTCCTTTTTTATTCTAAAGTTGTTACATCACTTAGCGGGTTAGTTGGTTCGGGTCCGGAGAGATTTCAGAGTGAATTGAGACACTTAGTCTCTTAATTGAAAGCTTAAGTTGAAAAGTTGACCGGAAGTTGTCTTATGTGTAAACGACCTCGTATCTGAATTTGGATTGTTCCGTTAGCTCCATTAGGTGATTTTGGACTTAGGAACACGTCCGAATTGTGATTTGGAGGTCCGTAGTAGAGTTAGGCTTGAAATGGCGAAAGTTGAAATTTTTGGAAAGTTTGACCGGGAGTGAACGTTTTTTATATTGGGGTCGGATTGGATTTTCGGAATTTGGCGTATGTTCATGGTGTCATTTATGACTTGTAGGCAAAATTTGAGGTCAATCAGACATGATTTGATAGGTTTCGACGTCGTTTGTAGAATTTGGAAATTTCAAAGTTCTTTAGGCTTGAATCCATGTGGAACTCATGTTTTTGATATTGTCTGAAGTGATTTTAAGATTCGACTAAGTTTGCATGATGTTATAAGAAGTGTTAGTATGTTTGGTTGAGGTCTCGGGGGCCTCGGGCGGATTTCGAGTGATTAACGGATCAAGTTTTGAAGTTGTAAAGCTGCTGAAGTTTGGACTCAGCTGGTGTAATCGCACATGCAAAAGTCTCATCGCAGGTGCGAGGCCGCAGGAGCGGGAAAGTGGACGCAAAAGCGAAAAGAGGAGGCTTGGCAGTGGCCGCAGGTGCGAGGTCCTTTCCGCACCTGCGAGGCCGCATATGAGGGCCTGTTACACAGAAGTGCTTCCGTAAAGGTGGGTAGGGGGAGCGCAGGTGCGGTAGCCTGGGAACTTAAGTGGTTTCTGCAGAAGCGGCTCCACAGGTGCGGAAATATGGCCGCAGGTGCGAAAGGGTCTAGGAAGAATGTTTAAAAATGAGAGTTTCGCGATTTTGGCTTCTTTTCAACATTTGGATCTCGGATTTTGGAGATTTTGAGAGGGCTTTTCAAGGGGAATTCTTGAGGTAAGTTCTTTGTGTTCATTGTTTTTCAATAATCATGTTCCCCACTGATTTTTCCACCTAGTTGGTGTACTTTTGAGGTGTAATTTAGGGTTTGAGGTTACGGATTTGAAGAGTTAATTTTAGGGAATTGAATGGCCATTTGGTGTCAAATTTTGATGAATTTGGTATGACTAGACTCGTGAGTGAATGAGCTTTCAGGTTTTGTGACTTTTGTCGGATTTCGAGATGTGCGCCCAGAGGCCGGATTTGAGCCAATTTCGGATTTTGGCTTATAATTCGTATTTTTCTTTTGGAAATAATCCCTTTAGCCCGTATTGATTGTATTGTATTGCTTGTGTCTAGATTCGGGATGTTTGAGGTAGATTCGCGAGGCAAGGGCGTTTTGGAGGAGAGTTTTGGCTCGGATTGAGGTAAGTAACCGTTTTATATCTGGTCTTGAGGGTATGAAACCCCAGATTTTGTTCTTATATGATTGTTTTGGAGGTGACACATATGCTAGGTGACGGGCGTGTGGGCGTGCACCGTAGGAATTGTGACTTGGTCTATTCCGTAGAATTGTAAAGTTGAATAACTTGTTGTTAGCTATATGTTCTCCATGTATTATAGAGTTTTAACTGCAAATCATGTTAGGAGTCATGCTTAGGCTATGTGATTACACTGCTGGTACATTATATTATCTTTGTGTTGGGTTGATATTTATGATTTTTGAGAGCCCGAGAGACTGGAGAGGTTGGTGACTAAGTTAGGGCCTGAGTGCCGAGTTGTGAGTTATATGTATATATATGGATCGGGTTGCACGCCATAACGGGCCTGGGGGATGTATGTTTATGGATCGGGTTTCATGCCGCAATGAGCCTTAGGTTTGTATATATATATATATATGGATCGGGTTGCACGCACAACGAGCCTTATGGCTATTTATATGGGATCAGGCTACACGCTGCAGCGATATAGTGTTTGGGCTGAAAGAGCCCCTCTGTAGTCTGTATACCCCCAGTGAGCGCAGGTACCTATTGAGTGTGAGTGTTAAGGGCTGAAAGCCGAGTGATGAGCTATTGAGAAAGACTGAGTGACCGTTTCCCTAAGATGCGGTATTTTCTTTCATTGTTGTTGGACATAGCTTCTATATGTCATTGCTTTGAAACTGTTGAGAGATACTATATTCAGAGTTTACTTGAATTTGGCATGTATAAACTTATTTGACTTAAATTGTCGGATTTGGAAGCAGGTCTACTTTCTTGTTTAGATCACTAAAAATGAACTATAACTGCGTAGCTCGTCACTATCTTTCATTCCTAATTTATTATTGTTACTTACTGAGTTGGTTGCACTCATGCTACACCCTGCACTTCGTATGCAGATCCAGGTGTTCCCGGTCATAGCGGGTGTTGATATTTGAGCAGTTGATCCAGGAGACTATCGAGGTAGCTACATGGTATTCGCAGGCCTTGGCTCTCCTTCATTATCTGTATTTTATTTCAGTTCTTATTCCTTAGACATTGTAGTAGACTGTTCCTGGTATAGACGCTCATGTACTCGATGACACCCCAATTTTGGGATAGATAGTATTGTGTTGCGAGTTTCTTTCTGTTCCAAAAAAAAAGAAGGTTTTTCTTAAATATTAATTGCTTCCGCCTATAATTTCAAAGCTTTTACTGTGTTTAGATAGTTGAGTAATGGCTTGCTTATTACCACGATAGGCGCCATCACGACGGTTATTTTTTGGGTCGTGACAAAACAAAACTGCATATGGAGATCTCCCAACTAGCAGGTTGGCACCTTATACATCTGATCTACCAATACTCCCTGTTACTAATTTTATATTGTCAAGGGTAAAAATTGAGCCTTTCAAGTTCTGCAGCAAGCATGTTCCTTAGTGATCCTCTGTAGATAACTTCTTGGATGATTTTCCTTATGATGCCCTTAGAATCTGATTGCTTGGCTTGAAACATTCTTTGATTCCTCTCAATCCAAATGTGGTATACACAAGCTGCTAATGTCCTATAAATTTATGCTTTTGAATTACTGCTTTTGGCATAAGTTTCTACCCAGCTGAGCTCCTCTAGCAATGTCATAGCTACCCTGTTAATGTTCATCTATTTTAGTAACTGGTTCCATATATATGCAGAGATATCACATTTAAAGAAGAGATGTGCAATAGTTTCTGGCTGGGAAGCACATGGCGAACATTCCTGATTACCAATTATCCCTCAATCCATCAACCTATCTCTTGTTGCCAATCTACCATGAGCTGCCAATCTCAGGATGAATATCCATTTAAGAGATCCGAAGTTATTACAAACTAGCTTCTTCCATTGCACTTTTGGGAAATCACCTCTCATCAGTGCGTACATCTTCTTAATTGAGAAGGATGTCATGTTCCTTAAGTCACTCCCTCTCACACCAACTTGCTGAACATAAGTCTTCATTTTTATTATCTTCTGTACCACCTACGATGCCTGCTTAGGTATGGATTGCCAAATCTGATTCCTTTTGATATAATAACTATGTACCCATCTCACCCACATTTTGTCTTTTTTGCAACATAGATTCCATAGCAGTTTACTTATAGCTGCTTTATTCCATATAGTAACATCCAACATATTTAAGCAACCGGCTACTTTTGGATAGCATATTTCATCCCAAGCAAGTAAGGATTTCTTTGTTAGCTCCACACCCCCAGTCCATAGGAACTTCCTACAAGTTGCTTCTATTAGTTTGATCACTTTGGTAGGAAATACAAAATTTTGTGACTAAAAACTTTGGATGGAAAATAGTACATTCTTGATCAATTGGACCCTTCCGGCATAAGATAAAAACTTAGTAGTCCAACTTGTAATCCTTCCCAGCATCTTTTCAAGTAGAGGTTGACATTGGATGACTGATAATCTTTTAGTGCTTAGAGGTACTTCTAAATATCTAAATGGCACTTCACCTTTAGAGGATTTGAGCATATTATAGTTATCTGTATGTCCATACTTACCCCTCCAAAGTAGATAGAGCTTTTTTTCTTTCTTTGCTACTAGGCTTGAAGCTCTAGAGATCTCTTGAAAGCAATCATAGAGCAGTTAGATAGAAATCACATCGCCCCTACAAAACAACAATAAATCATCTCCAAACCTCAGTTGGACCAAATGTAATTTAGAGCATATTGGGTGGTAATTAAAGTCTGGTTGATCGTTTAGCCTTTTCATCATTCTGGAGAAATACTCCATAGCAAGTACAAACAGGAACATGGACATATGATCCCCCTGCCTCAATCATCTCTTAGTTGCAAATGGAGTAGACCACACATTAATACCAATAGAATAGGAAACAGACTTTATGCACTCCATGATCCACTGTATGAACTTGACTGGGAAGTTCATATATGTCAACACCTGCTCAATAAATGGCCATTCTAGTGAATCATATGTCTTTTACATGTCTAATTTTATGATACATCTAGGAGATATCACTTTCCTTCCAGACTCTTTGACCAACTCATGGCTAAGGATTATGTTGTCGCTAATAACTCTCTTAGGAACAAAAGCAGATTGGCTAGCATCTATCAGAATATCCATCACAGCTTGTAACCTTGTAGTTAAGATCTTGGAAATCAGTTTGTACAATACAGTATAACATGGTATAGGTCTAAACTCTTTAACTAATAAGGGGTTCTTCACTTTAGTGATAAAGGTTACTGAAGTACTATTAATTGGTTTATATATTGTATTAGAATCAAAAACATGTAGTACAATAGCGGAAATTTCCTCACCTACCAGTGGCCATGCTCTTTTGAAGAAATAAGCATTAAATCTGTCTCCACCTGGTGCTTTCATATCATCAATTCCCTGTAAAGCTAATTTGACATCCGCACGTGTTACATGTGCTATCAATTGTAACCTTTGGCTTCTATTAAGCAAATGCCACTTTTCAAATAATCTAGGATTAACTGCAGGCAACTGCGGGATGCCGTTCCTAATAGCCTTCTATAAAACCCTACAATCTCCTAAGTAATCTCAGCTTCGGTTTGGATCCAATTCCCAGTCGACGTTTGCAGTTTGTTAATATGGTTGTGAGCAGTTCTATTCTTCATATTTGCAAAGAAAAATGTTGTATTTGACTCTCCTATCTGCAGCCACTGAATTCTAAATTTTTGTCTATAAATGCTTTCCTCAACCATTGACCATTTCTCTATCTCCTTCTTCAAATTCCTTTCTGTTTCAAATAGGCTGACATCATGTGTATGATCCCTCATATGTTCTTGTAGCTCTGCCAACTTTGTTCTAGCATCCAGGATCCTGCCTTTAACTTTGGAGAATTCCTCAGAGTTCAATGCCTTCATTTCTTCCTTGACCTTCTTCAACTTCAACCACACCCTCTTCATATAGGTTGCAGCCACAGTTTGTCTCCATCCTCTCTCAACATTAGTTAAAGAATATCGATGTTCTGCCAAATGGTTCAGGAATTTGAATGGCCTAGGTCTGCTACTTAGAGTTTCAGTAACGTTGATACAAAGAGGTGAATAGTCAGAAAATTTAGTAACCATAATCTCTACATCTACTTGAGGTAGACTAGTCATCCATTCTGTATTAACTAGAGCTCTATCTATTCTGCCGAAGATATGACTGTTTGTCCAAGTGAAGTCTCGGCCAATTGTTCTTAGCTCACACATTCCTGAATCCACAATGAAATCATTAAAATAAGTAGTTTCTGATTCTAGCACTGGATTACCAGTAATTCTGTCTTCGGGATTTAGAACTATGTTGAAATCTCCCATAATGAGCCATCGCCTTTGCATTCCATTCCTTAAGTCTCTAAGGTGTGTCCATAAGCTTCTCCTATCCTCTACAGTATGTAAACCATAGGTAGCAGTAAAGAAAAATTCTACAGGCATAGATGAACTTTTCACCGATCCGTGTATTGTTTGATTTGTCATGCAAATCAGCTCATATTCTACTTTATTTGCATCCCATAGGACCCAGATCCTACCCCTACTGCTATACTTATAATTGGCTTCGCAGTCCCACCCTCTTGCAATTTTCCCAATTATACCACTTGCTTTGTTTCATTTACCCTGTTCTCCAGAATAGCTATGATACTAACTTTATTTTCTATAATAAAGGACTTAAGTTCTTTTTGTTTATACACTTTATTCAGCCCCCTTACATTCCAAGTAATGAACTTCATTGAGTAGACAATATAGTTAATGGAATTCCCTTTTGCACTTGCCAACTACCCATTTCACTCACTGTCACCTCCTTGGCCTGCATTTGGGATATGTTTTGTCATTCCAATGGACTAAACCCATTATCAATGTTAATGACATCAGATCCATTCTTAGGAATTGTAGTATTTTTAGCAGCATACCTCTCTTTCACCTTATGCCATGTATCCCCTTGTAGTTGTGATGTTTGCACTGAGCTCGTAGAAATTGAATCTCCTTTTTTTTACACCGTCCTGCTGTTTTTCCCCTTTATCCTCTAGTATAATAAGTGCATTGTCTGGCTTTGCCTTCCATTCCATCACCGGATATTTATTTGGAATCTTTTTCACATGTTGTGCGTGCTGCTTATCCTCTGGCTCAGGTACTTTTTGTGTTTTCTGCTTGGCCTTAGGCTCATGAACAGTTTTCTCATATCTTAGTGCATAATCATGTCCAAGTTGTAGGCATTCTTCACAGTACTCCGGCACCCAGTCATACCAAACCTCTTGTTCAAAATTCCTCATTGCTGTATCTTGCACTTTTATTACTAGAGGCAAGGGTACTGTTATATCCATTTCATTTAGGACTCTAGCAAATGAGATTTTATCCACCCTTGTCGTACATTCATCCGAATATATTGGGTTCCCGAGCACACTACCGATCCTGCTGAGTATCTCCATTTCCCAACAATTCAGAGGAAGGTTTGGAAATTTCACCCATAATGGTATCATTTTCAGCACTTCCTCATTGAAATTAAAATATGTTTCCCATGCCTTGATAATTATTGGTTTATTGCTGATTGTGTGGGGGCCTCAAAATAGAACTTCATCTCTATCTCCTATACTATTGAACCTTACAACAAAATATCCACCATTATGTAAATAGATTTTAGGCTTAGGAGTGAAATTCCATTGAGTACCTATGAATCGTTCCATGGCGCCAATGGAAGGGGCAGCACCCACTACATACAAAATAATAGCTTTCTTCCATTTTTCAGTTCCCTTGTCCAATTCTGTCTGGTGCAATTGGGCAATTTTCTCACCCTCCTTGATCATCGGGGCAATGTACGAGAGACTCATGCCCCATGCTGCTCATCTGATCCCAATGAATAGGTTTTCCCATTTTATGTCGTTCTTAGCCGGTACCTCCATCTGGGTCTCAATCTTCTTAGGATTAGGCTCATGCTTGCTCTCATTTACAATTGTGTTTTGATTCACTTGTTGCAGCGATTCCTGTGGCCTATTAGTATTGGCATCACTTGTTACCATGTTTCCCTTCTTTACTACAGCTGAATTACTGCTAGGTTAATTTTGCTTGTTGTTACTATGGTTCGCAACTAAATCTGCTTTATTCTTCGTCAAATCGAGCTCCTCTGTAACTAGGCTTTGGTTCCTCTTCGTAGTTCCAGCCCCAATTGAATAGGGTTGCAGCTCCTCAATTCGACTTGGAGGAGTTACACTCTTTCCCTTGTCTCGATTCACTGCTATCTGAGGTGATTTTGGGTTACTTGTGCCCACAATCCTTTCATCTCTGAGCTCCGAGAAAAGTACCTTTGTCGCAGTCTTACGCGGTTGTCCACTCCCACCCATTTCCAGCCAAGGTGCATGATAGCCAACACGCTACAGTGTGCCGAGAGAGAAACAAAAGAGAAATGATTCTTTCTGTCTAATTAACAAAATGAATTCTTCTTTTTATTCATGGGTGAGATATGTAGAAGGTACTATACAGGCTTGCTCGGTCGGGGTATCTCAGTTGAACGTCGGTCGCACTACTCGAGGTCGGGGCATGACGGATATGATTCTATCCATACCAAAATTATCCAATTCCTACATCAATCGGCATTCAACTCCTCATTTTATATTTTTGAAAGATTTTACTAAAATCCTCAATTTCTCCAATTCAAATTACTACTTTAATGATAAAAACAAAGATGGAATCAAGAAATATAATCAAACCCGGATCAAGAATACTTATCCCAATCCAACACGTAAAAATTCACTCCAAAATTACCCAAATCCGATCTCGCTAACTCAGAAAGTGATAAACTAACAAAAGCCCTCGAAATATAGTACTTATAATTCTGCCCAGGGGATTACTCATCACGATCGCGGAAAATGCTTCGCGATCGTGAAGCACAAAACATGAACTACCAACATTTCCTCTGCGCAGACGCGACAATGTGGTCGCGAACATGGTGATTGGACCACTGTAAAATCGCGAACGCGTCAGCACTCTCTCGAACGCAGAGAGCAAGCCCCTGAGGACCCCTTCCAGATTTCCTTGTACACGATTGCGTAACACCGCTCGTGAACGTGGTGGCTAGAGGCTTCCAAGCTTTGCGAATGCATGAGCATCACCGCTAATGCTGTGCACAAAATGCCTGCCACCACATTAAACTATGCGAATGCAATCCCTTAGACGCAAATGCGATGAATAAAACCATATAACAGAACCAGCATTTCAAAACATGAGAAAAGGGCTCCTAGCCAATCCGAAAAACACCCAGGGACCCCGGGGCCCTACGAACATACCAACAAGTTTTATAACATATCGCGAACCTGCTCAAAGCCTCAAATCACAACAAAAAATATCAAAACTACGAGTCGCACCTTAATTCAAGCCTAATGAATTAATGGACTTTCAACTTCTACAATTCATGCAGAATCATATCACACCAATCTAGAAGGACCTCAAATTTTGCATGCAAGTCTCAAATGACACATCAGAGTTATACCAATTCCCGAAAAATCCGAACCCGATATCAATAAAGTCAACTCCCGATCAAATCTCTCAACCTTCCAAATCTTCTACTTTCCAACTTTTGCCAAAATGCATCAAATCAACCTACGGACCTCCAAATCCAAAATTGGGTCCAAAATCACCATACGAAGCTATTAGAATCATCAAAATACCATTTTGGAGCCGTCTACGCAAAATTCAAACTCCGATAAACTCTTACCACTTAAGCTTCCAAAACAAGAATCATTCTTCTAAATCAATCCCAAATCATCCGAAAACCGAACCCGGCCAAACAAACAAGTCATAATATCCAATACGAAGCTACTTAAACGTGCCAAAAACTATTTCGAAGCCACAAAATCACTGAATGAACTCATCATACCTATACTCACGGTGATCCCATGTCAACCCAATCCACATAAGCCCGACAACATCATCTCAACTGAAGATTATTCCTTCCAACCACACTGATAAACCTTAGAACCAAAATTTTCACCCTCCGATCATTTTCCAAAGACCTGATTCCCATATAAACACATTGTATCAACCTCAACCAGCTGCTATATCTCATGCATACACCCACAAGGTATGACCACCTGACATAATACATTGCTATGCCCATAATCAAATCCAGCACCAGCAAATAAGCTCATATCAGCTAAAACCTTGTCCAAACATTCACAACGCTGACAACTATGTAACAAACATGAAGATGTCGTAACCACTCATCCAAATCAATAAGTCACACCCAACACCACCTGGGCACATATGTCGCAAGCTAAAACCAATAAGCATAATGTCACTATGACTGAATATGGAAAGAGAATTACATGAGAGAAGTATCAAACAAGTATGACAGGCACAACTCCCTATCAGTACCATATTACGAATCAATTCCATAAGGGAGAATTAAAATATATGTTCTACTCACAAGGATCTCATCCTAATATAACTCCACTGTGGAACGTATCACGGTTCAAACATATCAAACCACTCAAAAATGCGAGGATCCCATCCTCAGTCTAAATCACAGGTAGAATACACATCACAGCAATCAAAACCTTCTACTAACTAAATTATGCGAAACAAAATCACAACATGTAACAGACTTCCCATACCGGTAGAGCACCTAAATCACAAATCGTAACCAAACCATCCAGAAATCACATCAAAACCTATCGTAATGAGTAACTGAAGGTTCATTCTAGTCTCATAGCTCTCAATAGGGAACATACCAAAATGATAGACACGGACTTCCTCTATAGAGTCTCTCAACAGAGGTAAACACATCGGCAGGGTACAAGAATCATGAAACACATTTATATATGAAGCAAGATATGAGGACTCACTCCGATAAACATGACCAAATCAAAATAAGACTGATGCTATACTATAACAATTGAAACCATTCCTGTAATGACACTATCTGGTGCAATGGCCTCAGCCCTACCATGGAAAGCATATCAACGGGCTGGGCCTCCCCTTCTAGGGCATCCTTTACCCGCCTGTCCTCTATCCCTAGCAGGATGTAATACACCGAACGATCATTTTTCTTTCAAGATCTCTGTTCCCCTAATTAAGACTTCCCCTATGTGCTTTTACTATTTTATGACTTGCGGGGATGGTTGGTTAGGTTTGGAAGGGTTCGGGTTGAAATCGGAATACTTAGTTCCTAAATAGTGGTCTTTGATGGCCAAGTTTGACTTACGTCAATATTTTGAGTAAACGACCCCGGAACCGGAATTTCTTTATTCCAATAGGTTCGTATGATAAATTTAGACTTGGGCGTGTGTTCAGATCCGGTTTCGAGTGATCCAGCAGCATTTCAACGCTTAGTGTTGAAAGTTAGTTCATTGAAGGTTTTCTAGTCCTTTAAATTTGGTTTGGAGTAGACTTTGGTGCTATCAAGGTCTGTTTAGGGTTTTGAGTCAAGAAGTAGGTTTGTATGGTGATTTATGACTTGTACGCTAAATTTGGTGTCATTCCAAGTAGTCTAGGTATGATTCGGTATGTTCAGAGCTAGTTAAGAAGTTGAAGTTTATAATTTGATTCAATTTGGTTTTGGGGTGCGATTCTTAGTTTTGATGTTATTTTATGTGTTTTGTGAGTTCGAGCAAGTCCATATTATTTTTATGGACTTGTTGGTTCATTTTGACGAGGTCCCGGGTGGCTCGGATGAGTTTCGAACCGCTCGGAGCTAAGTCTAAAAATCTGCTAGTGTGTTGTTCTGGTTTCCTTCTTCGCCAACACAGAAGGACTCTCACGATCGCGAAGAAGGATTTGGGGACTAGGTGATGTTGCATCTCACGCTCGTGAAGCAGGGGTCACGTTAGCGGAGTCTTGGGACCAGTGGCCTTTTGGTCGTGGTCGAGTGGTCGCGTTCGCGTAGAAGACCTAGGCTTGGGCCTGGGAAACTCAGTTGCCTTTCGCGTTCAGGGTTGGAGGCACGCGTTCGCAAAGAGAAGACATTTCAAGGGATCACGTTCCTTCTCGCGATTGCGTAGAAGGCTTTTCTTGGGTTCTTGAGTTTTGCCTTCACGATGGCGATGGCCTTTTCGCGATCGCGAAGAAAGCGGACTTGGGCAGTGTGCATTTAATTTGGGACTTAGGCTATTTTTCCAAACACTTTCACTTTGTCTTGGGCTATTTTGAGAGCACTTTTGTGGGGGAATTCTCAACAACATCACAAAGTAAGTAAACTCTACCCATTGTTTAAGTTAAGTAAGTGAATTATAGGTATATTAAACATGGGAAATTAGTAAAACTTGTGATATTTTGTGAAGAACCTAAGGTTTAAGTAAAATTGAGATTTGATCATGGATTTGATTATGAAATTGGGTAAAAAAAATCATATATTTGTGTTCGTGAGGTTATGGGTAACATTTATCTTTGAAACTTTTCAAAATCCGGACACGTGGGCCCGAGGTAAATTTTAGGAATCTTCCAAATTGGATTGTGTAATCACTTTATTAGTTAAATTATGAACCTTTGCACAATTATTGATTAGTTTGTACAACCTTTGACTAGTTTCGGATTGTTCGACAACGATGTGATGCTTTTAGAGTGATCTACGGATCGTAAAGTGGACTTTGGGAACGAGGTAAGTCACTTGTCTAACCTTGTAAGGGAGAATTAAACCCATAGGTGTTTAAATTATTATTTGCTACTAATTGTAGGTGCTACGTACGCACGAAGTGATGAGAGTCCGTGCGTAGCTAAAATTCATGTTATGTCGGGGCAGACATAGACTTTATTGTACTATTACTTGCACTATTTGGACTCAACTTGCTAGTTTGATTGCTCGTATTAATAAGTAAATACTTGGTTGAAGATCATGTTAAATCGAGCTTCATTACGTAGAGAGTTGGCGATATGTTTAATTATTGATGGAAAGTATATACTTTCATGGGCTTACCTTGGAGTTTTAAATATGAAACTCAAAATCCGAAAAGTTTCCCTATTCCTATGGATCGGGCCGAACTCCTCGGCAATCT